TAAATTGTATTTCACTTTTTACCAAAAAAAAAAAAAGAAAAAGGAGGCATCTCCAGGGCTGAGGAAGTAGCTCAAAAAGCTGGAGCATATGCCTTGTATGCCTTGCATGCATAAAGCCTAGGTTTGATCCCCAGAATAAGATGGTAACCCTAGCACTGCTGGGAGCAACCCCAGAGCACTGAGCCAGTAGTCTCAGAGCACTGATGGGTGTATCAAAAAAAAATAATCCTATAGAGTTCATCAGCAGGGTGCCAGGGTTCCTTTCCCTTCACGCGCTTGCCAATACGTGCTGTTTTCAATCTGTTTTTATCTAGGCCATTCTAATAGGTGTGAGATGACGTCTCACTGTTGTTATGATTTTCAGCCCCCTTTGTCAAGCGTTTCTTCATGTGTTTGTGAGTCATTTCTATGTCTCCTTTGAAGATGTGTTTTATTTTCTCCTTCCTTGATCAGATTTTGTTGTTGTTGTTGTTAAGTTGTATAAGTTTTTCACTTACATATTAACCTCTAGTCAAGCAGGTTATGTGCAGATATCGTCTCCCATATTTTTTGTCTTTGTAGCAGCTTCTTTTGTTTGTGGAGGTATTTTATTTATTAATTTATCTCATTTTTTTATTTGGGGGGAGGTGGCCTTTCAAGGGAGGGTCAGGAAGCCTGAGGTTCCACTGCCTATTCTTGAACAAACTTGCCTTTGTGGTTTAATGCAAGATTCTGAAAACTCAATAATGCTGGGACCTAGTGATATTAGGGATGTCCTCTGACCCCGGTGGTGCTGAGAATCTCAGGAGTGTACCCAGCCATACTTGAAGGACCATGTATGCCAGGAATCAAATCTGAGTAACTACTGTGTTGTCTTCCGGTCTCTATAGGAGCCTTTTGATTTGATGCTGTTCCATTTACTTGGCTTAAGTATAATGAGTTTCCACTTTCCGCTTCCACTGGTCAGTGATTGATGCCCCTTCAGTTTGATAGGAGGGAGAGACAGAGAGGGAGAGGGAGAGAGAGACAGACAGACAGACAGACAGACAGACAGAGCTGACTGATCCATCCTTTAGTCAGCTGATTACCCTGCCCACTACTCACATGCTCCTGGGGCACCTGCTCTCAGCAGCTGTGGATACTGAAGAGAGCAAGTATAGTTTTTGCTCTTAAGGTATTTGTGGTATCATTTGATTAAGGATTTGTGAGCAAGATATTCTGTAGAGGAATGTTTCCTGTAGAGGATGATTCTGCCCCACCTTAGGAGGCTGGAATAAAACAAGTGGCAGTACTATGGGGCTGGAGCAATAGCACAGCGGGTAGGGCGTTTGCCTTGCATGCAGCCGACCCAGGTTTGATTCCCAGCATCCCATATGGTCCCCTGAGCACTGCCAAGAGTAATTCCTGAGTGCATAAACCAGATGTAACTCCTGTGCATCACTGGGTGTGAAAAAGCAAAAAAAAAAAAAACCAAACAAACAAACAAACAACAACAACAACAACAACAAAAAACCAAGTGGCAGTACTAGCCTTGGATATAGTTAGGGGGAACTTTCTGTTCTTATGGGGATGGGCACTGAGTGATATTTTTATTTTGGTAGGGGTAAAAGGGTGGCAGCCTAAAGAAGGTTGGGGACCTCTGATATAGGTAGAACATCTAGTTCTTAATATTTGACTCCACTTAGAAAGATCCAAATGTACTTTGGTCTATTTTTCTGGCAGCCTGCCTGGAGTGCTCTGCAGACAGATTCCTGTAGCATCCCTGTTGCTAGTAGGAAACTCAGACACTTGCTCCTTTTTCCCCAAGAAGAGAGTAGAGATGGAACCTTGTGAGGATGCTTAATTGAGGGTCTAGCTCCCTATGGTGGCTACTTGTATGTCAGGAGAGACTCAGCAGATACCCTTTAGGGTCTCCTATGGAGCCATACCCCATTCCTTCCTTACCAGCTGGTATGGCCTCTCCCTCCTGGCCTTAGCCCAGAGAGGTAAGTACTTCCTATCAGACTCAGAACCCTTGAGCACCTGGGAATTGCCTGGACGTGCTTTTTGGCCGACAAAGAGGCCCATGGTCCTCTCCACATCGCCCAGATCCTGATAAGATGGTGCTGGCACTGTACATGGTTCAGAAAAACACAGTGTGCTGAAGGGCTGAGAGGCACCAAGTGGGTGGTTGGATTTTTCAGAAAGGATGAATCAAAGTCCCTGCCAGTCACTCAGGAGTGCTTTTGAAGGAAGCAAAAATCATAGCACAAAGCTTAACTTGGTGGGTTATTCTGATATTAGACGTTATCCCCCTCTAATCAGACCTCCAAAATCTGTTTTCAAGTAGATAGAAATCAGTCATTAGAATGCCAGTCATGGCTAACCCGTGTGCGTCTTCTCCATGGTCATGCTGGGTACCCAGAGGTCACTTGTTTTGAGAGCAGTGATTTCGCCAAGCCCTGGGAGCAACTAATCTTCTAATGACCCTCCACTGAAGGGTCCTCCCATGGGTGTCCCTCTTTGCTCATGCACAAAAATCCTTTCTTCGTCCTTTGTCCCAGTAACCAGAACTGTGGGTCCCAGCCCTGGTTGCATACTTCACACCAGCTTTCTTCACTCCTGCCTGAGTGGCATCATATTCCTTCGTGTCTGAAATTAGCATTTTCCCTTTCTTGGGTTGAGATTTTCCTCCCAGCTCACTGTGAAGATGTGTAGCTCCCATGGCAACCATATACTTGGTTTATAGGGCCAGGGCTTCGTTTGCTCAAGATGGTACAAAGAGCCCGGCACATTTATTCCTCCTCTTACATCTCAATGATCTTTTGTGCTTCAGCTCTACCTGCAGTCCTCCCTTCTTTCTGCCCGGGTGCTTCAAAGAACAAAACCTACAGCTCCAGTGTGATTAGAATACAAGCGGCTTTAGTTATCTGCTCTTTTCTGGCCTCTACGTTTGGGGGAAACTTATCTGTGCACTAATTTTGTTAGAGTTTTGTGCGGTACCACTCTATGTTGTGTCGGTAAATGTGGGCCATATCATCAGTTAATGAAAACTGATTTTTTTTATCACTAGTGGGAAAAAGCACTGACAAAGCTGCCAAATAATGGAGAAAAGGCCAGCGAGATAAAACAGCAGATAGAGGGGCCAGAGTGATAGTACAGAAGGGGAGCATTTGCCTTACACGAGGCTGACCTGGGTTCGGTCCCTGGCATTCTGTATGGTCCCCTGAGCACTACCAAGAGTAATTCCTTGTTGTTGAGCCAGAAGTAACCACTGAGCTTTGCCAATGTGACCCCAAAAACCTAAATTTAAAAAAACTGTGTAGGGGACCTGCCTTGTATGCAGTTGACCTGGGTTCAATCCCTGGCACCCGTATAATCCTCTGAACCCTGCCAGGAATGATCTCCAAGCACAGCAGTAAGAATAAGGACTGAGGGGCTGGAGCCATAGCACAGCAGGTAGGGTGTTTGCCTTGCATGCGTCTGACCCAGGTACGATTCCCATCATCCCATGTGGTCCCCTGAGCATGGTCCCCAGGAGTAGTAATTCCTGAGTGCACGAGCAGGAGTAACCCCTGTGCATTGCCGGGTGTGACCCAAAAAGCAAAAAAAAAAAATGAGCATCCCCAGGTATAGCCCCCAAAGCAAAATCAGTAAGTAAATAAACAAATAAATACAAGAATGCAAATAGTGGAAATATCAGGTCGGATCAGGAATGAGGAGCTGACTGTTTTCACAATTACTATTTCAGTGGTTTTTCTTTTTTCTCTCTTTATTTGCATTTACATGTATATTTTTAAAAACATTATTTTCATTGCTTTCCATCGTTTTACTTCTATTTTCCAGCTTTTCTTGTGTACATTGTGCAAATCTCTGTATGCTGAGGCCAAGCTGACAACCTTGCCAGCTCACTCCAGCACAGCATCTGGTCTCAACTCTTGGCCTCGGCCCATTTTGTCTCCTGTGCTAGGTGTCTTGGCTGACCTCATCCTTTCTTCCTTGCCTTGCATTTCCTGTTTCATTTGTTTTTATTTCTATATTTATTTTGGGCATTTATAGTAGCCTTGGCAGTGTTCACGGGCTATTTGTGGCTCTGTGCTCAGGGGTTGAATGACCTCTGGTGGTGCTCAGGGGGCCTTATTTAGTGCCTGGGAATTAGAACTGGGGTGGTTGCACACAAGGCAAGTACCTTAAACCTGATATTGGCTCTCCAGCCCCTCTCATTTCTTCTTTTTTTTTTTCCCATAGCTTTTCCTTGCCATAAACACGCTTTGTCATTACCGACTCATTACTCTTTTTTGTTGTTGTTCAGAAAATACAGAGTCATCTCAGAAAAGTCTTTTTTTTCTCTGTGTTTGAACCAATACTGTGTTGCTTCATCACTGTTGTAGGGTCAGAGCTTGGTACTTGTGTTTACACAGAATCACACTTGCAGAGGTGGGACTCGAACTTGGTTGGGGGGGCAAACATACCAGGCAAGCACAGAGCCACATCTGTGAGTTACTTTCCATACTTCATGCATTTTCTCAGTTCACCATCATATAGGAAATGTGACTCCTAGTGGACAGGTTAGCCAACAGTTTAAGATAGTATAAATAATTGCTTGGCTATTATCATGCATCAAGTTCAATAGCAGGACTTGGGATGTCTCCTAACAAGTTTTCATTTTTTGCTGTTAAACTTTGTGTCGTCCAGCTGGAGGAGGAATGAGTTTTGCGTTTTCAGACCAAACTTGGCACTGGAGTGGCTTGTAGGTTGCATGACCTTGAAGACCCTCCCCTGCCAGCACTACCTGAACCCAGTGAGTTTATAGAGACTGGTGAGACTCTTTCCCGTAACTGGTGACAGATCTCTGAACTGCATTCTCTTAGAGAATAGCTCTTAGAGATAGCTCTGTGTCCATCCTGAAATTATGGAAAGTTGCTGTGGGTGATTAGATCTCAATGCGGGGGATGGTGTCCTTGTTCTTGTGTGACCAGCAGGCTGGAGTTCTCCCTGTTAAGATTCGCACTGTTTTGCTTTGTTTTGTTTTGTTTTTGCAGAGCCTGTGTCATCTTGGGGGTGATATTCCTTCTGTCATCCATATGTATAGTGGTCAAAGCCATCCATGACCTCTCAACGAGGCTGCTCCCAGAAGTGGTAAGGTTTTTATTGTTTCTTTGCTCACAACCATTCCTAAAGTACCAGCTTCAGAACTACCTGTCCCCATAGGCTTACGGGGGAAGATGGGCCGATGGAAAGAGAATGCATTGCAGAATGTAAATGGCAGAGAAAAGCACCAGATAAGGTGAAAAGACTTAAAGTAGTTGAACTGGTGCTGGGTTGATTCCACTCCTTAGACCTTCTGGATCTTTTTTAAGTCAGATGTTTCAAAGACTTGTTTCATTTTTTTTAAAATAAGAGCTATTCCCAATGTACTCAGGGCTGCCAGTGCCATACCCATCAGTGCTCCGGGGGCCATGTGGTATCAGGAATTTAACTCAGGACCTCCCACGTGTTAGGTATCTGATCTGCTTGAACTATATTCCCAGCCTCAAAACTGGGGTGATTTTTATACAACAGAGTAATATAATCCACAGTGTTTGCATCCATTCTTCTTTGTCCATTTAGTGATTATTCTAAGAGCTTTTTTTTCTTTACCCCTCATTTTAACCCATTAATCTATTTATTTTAGCTTTTATGGCACAACTGATATTTGGTGCAAAAACCAAAAGATGCAGCTTCGTATTAAAGTGTTTCTTTGGGAGCCAGAGTGATAGCACAGCGGGTAGAGTGTTTGCCTTGAACACAGCTGACCCGGGTTCAATTCCCAGCATCCTATATAGTCCCCTGAGCACCACCAGGAGTAATTCCTGAGTGCAGAGCCAGGAGTAACCCCTGTATATTTGGGTGTGATCCAAAAAGCAAAAATAAAATAAAATAAAAAATAAAGTGTTTCTTTGACTGCTTTGTTTTCTGGGAGGGAGCCATTACCTGAAGCCTGATAATTTTCTCTCCACCCTTTATGAGTGCTCAGAAATAGTTTTACAATCTCCTATCAGTTGTTCTTCATAGAAAGTAGCTGATGCACTTATCAGGTGATGAAGATTCTGCCATGATGGTGCTTCTCTGCAAATTTCATGGTGATTTAAATGCAAAGCTGTGGGCTTTTCTCTTTGGATATGATCGAATTTGAACTTCCGAGGTGCACCATTTTATATAAATTCTACAGTATTAGATTGTTAGTTTCACTTTTAGAAAGACACACTTGACCCCTTTGGGGGGATGAGGTCTCAGCATATGTACATGTATGTGTGTGAAAATGCATGCACACCTACAGTGATGATGGAAATGGAATGGGAAAGATACTGTATGTAGTACAGACCTGAAAGCGATGATAAAAGTTGCCCCACCTCCCTACTTTTTTTCCCCTTTATTTTATTTTATTTTTTTTTACAGTTGTAGATTTACAATTTTTTGTGCTTTGGTTTCAATTATACAATGATCAGATATCCATCCCTCCACCAGTGCCCATTTTCCACCACCATGGATAATATCCCTCCCACCCCCATCCCCCCCATCCCCCCTGTCTCTGTGGCAGGGCAATCCCCTGTGTTCTCTCTCTCCTTTTGGGTGTTGTGGTCTGCAAAAGAGGCATTGAGTGGCAAACATGTTCAGTCCATAGTCCACTTTCGACATGCATCTCCCCTCCTGGGAGGATCCTCCAAACATCCTTTATTTGGTGCTCCCTTCTCTATCTGAACTGCCCTTTCCTCTAGGATACCCGGCTGGCCTCTAAGTTATGGAGTAATCCTCCTGGTGCTGATCTCAGCTATTCTTGGGTATTAATCTCATACTTTGTTACTTTATATCCCCCAGATGAATGCAATCTTTCTATGTCTATCCCTCTCTTTCTGACTCATTTCGCTTAGCATGATACTTTCCATATTGTACCACTTGTATGTAAATTTCATGACTTCATCTTTTCTAACAGCTACATAGTACTCCATTGTGTAGATGTACCAAAGTTTCTTTAACCAGTCATCTGTTCTTGGGCATTCTGGTTTCTTCCAGTTTCTGGCTATTCCCACCTCCCTACTTTAAACTGAGATTAGAACCATTCCTTTATTACCTTACCGACATCTTCATTATTTATCACTCTGTTGTCCAGGCAGAGGCTTCTCATTGTCAGGAAGGAAAGATGGATAAGGGTAGGAATGTTGCTATTCCCAGTTTTCAGTCTTTCTCAGCAGTGGAGCTATTGTAAACTAACATTAACTGTTACATTCACTCTGAGCTCTTCGTCTCATGATTGTGTTCTCACAGCCTGATCTTTCCCCTGGGGTGCTGGGGTTCTGGACTTTTCCACCTTTTTCCTCTATCACATTTGCTAGGCTGTGCTCCATTCTGTCAGAATCCAACTTGTGTGTAAAATCTAGACATACTGGCATAAGAGTGATTAATGAAGAAGTCAATCAGATAAAACATCTCTGCATTTTACAGAGGATGGAAACAGGCCTGCACTCTAAGAAATGTTTATTGGTGGGAGTTCTCAGCACTCGGCTGGTTGACGTATTCATTTATTTAGGCATTAAAAATTAATTTCCAGCTGGGCTAACTTGACATGAAATGCATCACTGTGCTCATGAGTTCTTTCAGAGACCCTGCTTGTTCTCTTGATAGCAGAACCATTTTCATCTGGGAATACTTCCATATCCTATGATGCAAATTCTCGGAACTGAAGCAGTTCAGTGACTGAAATGCCACACCAATGAAAAATGGCTAAGACCCCACTCCAGGTGAGGTTCAGAGATGGTTAGGAACTCCTTGATTTTTCCTGGGAGAACTCATCCCCACTGCATCTTTGGTGAATTCTGGCATGAGATTTCAACATCACAAACATTGTATGCCCAGTACTCAAAGATTCTCTCAGAACTTGAAGAAAAGTCTTGGAGTGGTTTTGTTGGTTACACTAATTTTATTCAACCTCTGTATTTAATGAAAAGATAACAAGTATGCCTTCAAGTTCCACATACTCCCAGCCCTTAAGGGGAGGCTTTCTGGTCAGCTGAGTGGCCCCTGATGTCCACATCAGTACTGCCACAGTGTTTCAGTCCCAAGTCCTTGGATTTCTTTCTTCTCACTACCCTCAAAGTTTGGGGGAACCCAAAAATTAGTACCAGAGTCCCAACTTCCATTCACAATGCCTAAATGAGGAGCCATGGAAAGAAAGTAGAGTGGTTAGAGTACAAACCTAGTGTCTTCCTGACTCAGGTTTTATTTCCAGCACCACATTGTCCCCTAAGTACCCCAGAGCCCTCTGACCACCATGGGGTGGTCCAGATACCTGCACCTCAGGACCCAAGCAGCATCATACCCTCACACCCTTGTTTGAAGCAGCTGGTTGGCCGAGAATTACTGGGCCCCAAGGCTTCCTGAACACCACTTAGGAAGCCTAACCCGCCGCCCACCAAAACCACATGGTCAGATGATTACAGAAGTCAGTCCCTCAAACAGGAGAAATAGCCAAAATCTGTGACTACAGGAGTTGTGACAACCCTAGGGCCAAGGAGCTGCCATCCTGGCTGAGGTGTTGCGTGTGACTATGGACTCAGGTTGTTAGATATTTCAAGTTTTGTTTTGGTATGTTTGCTTATTTGGGGACACACTCAGTGTTGCTCAGGGGTTACTCTCAGTGGTTCTCAGGGAAACATGTGGTATGAATGAACAAAGCCTGGACTACCATACATGAGGCATGTGTTCTAGCCCTTTGAACCATCTCCAATGTTCAGATAATCCAGCCTCTTGAGACGGTGGAAACCTGCTTAATTTGAAGTAAGTTGATAACTAATTAAAAATTTTGAAAAGCCTCATGGGGAGTGGGTGGATAATTACACGCAGACCAAATAAAGCTGTCTCTTGGCTATTCATGCCATGTAGGATCAGAACCGGGGAGACAAGAGTTTAAGTCCTTGATGCCACAAATTTAGATGTGGGTTCCAACTTCACCCTTGTCTTCAACTTCAGGGTTGCCTTTTGACATGGCATCTTTCTAGTCTGTGGGTCTGTGAGAAACAGCATTTTCTCTCCCCCAAGCAGCTTTCTTTTGCATGTCAGCTGCCCAGTTCTGACTGAGGATAAATGCGAGAATGAATCATTCTGAATAAGAAAGCTAGTTAGCTCGTTAGGAATTTCCCAGCCATGAAGGTATTGCTTTGGCACTGTGGTGGGTTTGCCTGCTACTTGGCATTTTTCTGGAGCCCAACTCTCCAGGGAGCCCCAGATGGGTGTCTGTGATGGCCTCTTGCAAAGATTTCATGAGCAAATGGCATCAAGTCTGCCCCCTGACAATGTGCCCATGGCCCTGTCACAGTATTAACTCATTGTTAATAAAACAGAATCCAAAAGTGTGTCCTCAGGAATCTCTATGAGTTCAAGTTCTAGAGTCGGGGGAAGAGTGGGCAGTGACCTTAATGTAATGGCAGCAGTACTTCCTTGTTCTCTGTGACCAGTGTGATTCTCCCATCCCCACCCAGCCTAAGATTATGCTACTTTGGTGGCTTCAACTCTTTTGGTTGTTTTGTTTTGGGGATCATCCCTGGAGGTGCTCAGGGATTATTCCTGTTTCTGCACTCAGGAATTTTACTCCTGGAAGTGCTCGGGAGACCATGTGGGGATCAAACCTGGGTCAGCCATATACAAGGCAAGCACCCTATCTACTGTACTATAGCTCTGGCCTCACGGTGACTTCAGTTCTAATGTTCTTATTTGCGGGGTTTGGAGTAACACATCAAAGTGATCTCAGGTTGTGACCAGCAGAAGTTTAGGCCATCTCTTTGGGGACTCCTGTGATTGCCAATGTCTTTGGGCTAGTTTTTGAGAACGCGAGAACACACTCCAGTATCAGGAGACGCCTAACTCTACAATCTAGCAAACCGCATGGCTGGCAAATCGTGTTTCCTCACTGAGTGATATTTCCTTCTTGTGGGCAGATGTCTTGCGTCCTCCCCCACAATAGTGAGTAAGCTGTGATGAACGGCAGAAATGTGAACTTCTGGACCACATTTTAGAAAATAGACAATGTTGCTCGTGGTTCCAGGGCCTGGCAGCCACCACTGCCTGTGAGTAGCATCCTCACACCCTTGCATTCAATCGCCAGC